TAAGACATCCTAGGAAACCAAGAAGGTAAGTAAACATTCAACTTGACCATTAACAGTAGGTGCTAATGGGGAAAAAAAAAACCAACAGTAATATTTGGATATGTGAAAAAGAGACATTTCAGCTTTTAATCATAAAGTCTAATACAACTGGTACAGACCCTTTAATTAGTGTACTTCAAACTTTGTCCTACCTCATCTGTATTTGCATCGCTTTGCCAAAAGAACAATACATAGGAGTTGCTAACAAGAATATTGTTGCCATATGCATTCTTACTGATGTTTGTAACATCAGTATTATGATCGTAACGTGTTTAAAATATGTTTGCACTCAGAAAGGTCGCATGCAGAAATTACAGGTCTATTCCCCACCATTGACTTCATAAGTAAACATGACCACTTTATCAAAGCAAAGAAAATTGGCACACCCTGCTCCAGCCACAATCTGAAAAAGACAGCTGCACCCTATAGACCTTAACTAACCTTAACCACTTTCAGGGGAAGCAGCTAGCTGAAAGAGGCGGCCTACAAGGTCTCCTGACACCTTCTGAAATCAGAGATGCAGGACAATGGATCTAGAAACTGGTGCAAAAGCACATCTCAAATACGCTTAAAATAATGCAAAAAAAAATTACAATAAAAAGCAGTTTGTTGTTTATTCAAGCTTACATCAATCTGTGCAGCAAAGACTGTCTTAATGGAATAACCAAGCTTTTATTTGCCTTGGCATTTAAGAAGCTAACACTAGAAGCCAGAAAGACTGCATTCAACTATGCTTTCAGTGATCTTTTCAACAGCTGTCAACAAGTCTGATAGCTCCTATATATGGTCCCATGGACCTTTACTGTTTAAAGCACCTGAATCTCTAATTTGGGATGGGAATTCTACTCACTGAATCAGTAAGCCTCTATTTACAAACAGCATTTTGCACAGGATATCCATCTTTCAATTTTATATTCATGTTTTGACTTTAGTCAGGGACAGAAGGGGTTCAAATACTTCTGAATGTTGAATGCACTGCAGCATCCAAACCCAGGTCCATGTATTGGACATCAAGGCCATGGCAGTTTTCTGCAGCTTCCCAACACTGTTGCCTGGAGCAGATACTCAGATCTTGCAAGTCCTTCCTTCTGTAAAATGGGATGCTTTTTGACCCTCGTAATCCAAACATTTCAAAATACAAGGGGGAACATCTTAAGTTCAAAAACAGATTTTGCACCTCATTAAAAAAAAAGTAACTTGTTACACTCATTTCCATCAAATTTCAGGCAACTTGCAAAGTCTTTATATTAAGACAAATGTAACGACAGCTCTCCTTAAGTCTGGTCAAGCATCACAGCAGCTAACATATTAAGGCAAAGGTAAACGGGAAAAAAGTGTCAAGCTCACAGCATGGTCTATGAATATAAACATACGCCATGCAGACCCATTCCTACCAGACCTTTACTTTTACTTGTCTTACTATGCAGTATGTTTGAAGAGAAATCCTTGTTTACATGGTGATGACCTTTCACTTTCTTGGCTTATGTAGCAGCTCTTCAGAGACATGGTCATCGAGCATTTCTGAGCTCTTCTTGCCTACTGAATGACAACCAGACGGACTTGAACTTCAGACAGGCAGAAAAAACTTTTCTGGTCTGGGCACCATCACAGGGCACAGAAACCTCCCGAGGTTGCAGGGGAAGGTGGCTCCGTCTGAGCGCCAGGAAAAGTGCTTGAACACACGTCAGCATCTACTTACACCCCACCACAGCTCAGGACGAAACAAGCATCTTACTCGTTAACGGCGGCGGAGGAGTCCCGGAGCCCACCGGCCTGGTACAGAGCGCCGCGGAGGGAGCGGCCCCTCGCAGCCCCCGGGCCTCCAGCCGCATCACCTGCAAGGCACCGTATAATACAAATGAACGAAGCGAAGGACAAGAGGCTATCTCCAGGGTACAGAGCCCCGAGGGGGGGGGACGGGACCGC